GGGGGGCTCCCCCCCCCCTCCTCCTCGTTGGGGACACGCACGCCCCAGTGGTCTGGGGGGGGGGAGGGGGGGGGAAGTCACAGAGAACGAAAATAATAAGTGACAAACACTGAACGAACAATGCCAATATGTGTTTGTGCAAAGTGAGGTGTTCAGGGAACCAGACACATTATATGCATATCAGTGCAGCCTGTCCTCATAAAGAAACTCCAAAAATTCATTCCATGCACCCGCCAAACCCCCGCTGTTTCTGAATGAAAAACGGTTTACACACGACTCACCACTGTTGACATTCGAACACTTCCGGAACAACTGACGAATTTTGTTAAAAACCACAGCACTGTAAATGCAGCCCGTCCTCCAAATAAAGACCCAAAAGTGATTCCATGCAGCCGCCAAACTCCCTGTTTATTAATTAAAAACTGTTTACACACGACTCACAACTGATGACGTTCGAACACTTCCGGAACAAGTGCTTCACTGACGAATTTTGTTCGAACCACAACGCTGTAAATGCTTCACCCACGTAGGCGATGAGTCACAATGAATGGCTGAAGAATGTTGACCAGACCACTCACTAGAAGGTGAAGGGACGACGACGTTTCGGTCCGTCCTGGATCATTCTCAGGTCTACACAATCGACTTGAGAATGGTTCAGGACGGACCGAAACGTCGTCGTTCCTTCAACTTCTAGTGTGTGGTCTGGTCAACTTCACCCACGTACTATTGTGAATACAAATAATCGCCAACAGAACCTAAACACCTAACCTAACCTATGCCTATATATTGCACAATATGTTAATATAATATTAATTTATGTTTGAGAAAATTCCCGTTTTGACTGAACAACATGTAAAAATTGATGAATGTGTCTGTGGGGTCGACCGCTGGATGTAATGGACTTGAGTCGAGGACGGGTTGTTTCAACCATGTACTTCAAATATAAATAATCGCCAACAGAACCTAAACACCTAACCTAACCCACGCCTAACTATACATAGAATTATTATGTATAATAATATTAATTCATATATGAGAACAAACTAATTTTTAATACACAGTACTTATTTTTAATACACAGTATGTTAAAATTGATGAATGCGTCTGGAGAGGACGGCCGCTGCTTTAAACAGCCTAGTGTAAGGTTGACTAAGTAGAAACAATGCAGTTAACCCAGATGGAATTTTACCTTGGGTTCTGAGAGAATGCGCATCTGAGCTGAGCATTCCACTTCAATTGATTTTTCAACCATCTTTACTGAATGTTCAAGAATCTTAAGATATATAGAAAAAGAGCAAATTATAGTTCCACTCAACAAAAATGGTAGCAGAAATCCTCGTAATTATAGACCTGTATCGTTGACAAGCGTGGTAGTCAAAACACTAGAACAAAACAATTAAAACCAAATAAGTAAACACCTGGAAAGAAATGATGTAGCAACACAACCCGTTCTCGCAAATTCGTAAAGTCAATATTGACTTATTAACTACGTGCATAGGTGATATACTAAACATAATAGATACCCTTAAAAAGATTCAAAGAAAACACCGACCTTACTTAACCTTGTTAGTATCTTAAGATAAGCATCTTATTGCTTCGTAATTACAATTATTACTTAACCTGTACCTATAATAGGTTAGGTAATAATTGTAATTGTGAAGCAATAAGATGCTTATCTTAACATACTAAGTAGGTTAGGTAAGGTCGGTGTTTTCTATGAATCTTTTTAAGGGTATCTATTATGTTAAGTATGTCACCTATGCACATATTTAATAAGTCAATATTGACTTATTAAATTTGCGAGAACGGGTTGAGCAACAGTATGGGTTCGAATCCTGTGAAACAAATATACGTATTTTCTATGCTAGAGGCACAAAGGTTTTACAGGAAACAGATGGTGCGGTTAATTGGATTTATCTGCACCTGAACAATGCTTTTGACAAGAGACCCCAGATAAGAAATTGAAATAAGTTTATTGAGGTAAAATACACACAAAGGGATGAGGTAGCTCAAGCTATTCTCACCCCGTTCAGTACATCGTGTTAATACACACATAGACACACATCACAAACAATAAACATATTACCAAACATTCTGAGACCCAGATAAGAGGTTGTTTAGGAAACTGGAACACACTGGAGTGGTGACAGGAAGACTTCTGATAAGGTGTCTTCCTGTCCCTTCCTGTCATAAGGAAGTTGGATCATTCTTTCAGTTTATTCAGATCAGCTTTTAGTTTTTTTTTAAGTTTTCCTCCAAATTAATTTTCATAATTTGTGTATTAACCATGGAAGGGAATGAGTGTATCCCTTCTGGAAGATCATCTACATATAGATGGGGACAACATATACTCGATGACTGAATACTGTGGGATTCCGATGGCGACATTCGCTGAGTGATGAAGATTGATTGATTGATTGATGAATGAAGAGATGTCATGGACATGAATAGTCCCCGAGCGCCTTGTGACTGGCGCTCCTCTGTTGTTCTTGTTGTTGTTGTTATAGATTCAGCTACTCGGAACAAGTTCCAAATAGCACGGGCTATGGTGAGCCCACTTAACCTGGTTAGCACGGGCTATGGTAGCCCAGGACTTACCTGGCACAGGAGGGGCAAGTAGCACGGGCTATGGTGAGCCCATAACTTACCTGGTACAGGAGCGGGGCAAGTAGCATGGGCTATGGTGAGCCCGTAGTGGACTTACCTGGCACTGGAGCGGTGCTCTATCCTCTGTTGCGTAAACATCCTGTTATACCCACTCTAATACCTTCCTCGTCACTCCTGCCTCCGTGTTCAACTTGTGCACCAGTCTGTTGGGTGGGGGTAGTGTCAGTCTCTCTGATAATCCAGATATATGCAGTCTGACTTTGACGAGAGACTTCCCTGTCTTGTCTGATTTTGGTTGGCCGATTATAGAATTCTTCTGTCAGGTTTGTAAGGCAAGATAAATCCATCTTGCTGTATTTAAGGATAGCAGATATGTTATCTCCGAATCCGTGCTGTGTGTATTCACCTAGTTGTATTCACCTAGTTGTGCTTGCGGGGATTGAGCTCTGCTCTTTCGGCCCGCCTCTCGCATGTCAATGACTCAACTATTACTAACTACTAATTTTGTTTTTATCTCCCAACACACACCCCCAGGAAGCAGCCCGTAACAGCTGTCTGACTCCCAGGTACCTATTTACTGCTAGGTAACAGGGGCATCAGGGTGAAAGAAATTGCTCATCTGTTTCCGCCGTCGCTGGGAATCAAACCCCAGACGACAGGATTACGTATCCAGCGTGCTGTCCACTCAGCCACCAGTGCCACTTTGTGTGTGTGTGGGGGGGGGGGGGGGAGGCCGGTGTTCAAAATGTTGACAGATATTTTTAACACAAATGGATGACGAATGGGTTTAGGGAGAGAGGTATTGATGTAACCATCCTATTCTTCATCCCAGATGAAACCATCCCAGTATCCCTATCCTTCCTCTACCCCTTCTTGTCCCCCTCCTCTTTCCTCTGCTACCTCTTCCCCTCTCCCTTCCCCTATCCCTTCCCCTCTCCCTTCCCCTCTCCCTTCCCCTCTCCCTTCCCCTCTCCCTTCCCCTCTCCCTTTCCCTCTCCCACTTACTTCCCATACCTTTCACTTCCTGTTCAGACCGTCTTTTTCTTGTCACATATTAATCAATTTCAAAGTTGTTGTTTTGATGTTTAAAAACTCCGTCTAGCTGTTGCTTAGTTTGTGTGTTTTGTACTGGCCCGTGTGTACTCGCCTAGTTGTGCTTGCAATGATTGAGCTTTAGCTCTTTGGTCCTGCCTCTCAACGGTCAATCTACTGGTGTACAGATTCCTGAGCTTCTTGAGCTCTATCATATCTACATTTGAAACTGTGTATGAAGTCAGCCTCCACCACATCACTTCCTAGTGCATTCCATTTACTAACTACTCTGACACTGAAAAAGTTCTTTCTAGTGTCTCTGTGGCTCATTTAGGTACTCAGCTTCCACCTCTGTTCCCTTGTGCGTGTGTGCCACCCATGTTAAATAATCCATCCTTGTCCACCCTGTCAATTTCCCTGAGAATTTTTTGTGGGGTGATCATGTCTCCCCGAGCTCTTCTGTCTTCCAGTGACGTGAGGTGCAGTTCACGCAGCCTTTCCTCATAACTCATGCCTCTTAGTTCTGGGACTAGCCTAGTGGCATCTGAACTTTGTCAAAATGCCCTATGGACGATTTTGTAGTTTTCATGGACTATCTCACTTATACCTAACCAAATTCGCTCGTGTTTGTCTACCTTACACTTGAAACAATCCAATAATCCCACAACTGTTGCATTGGTAATTTGTTCCGTAAATCAACAACCCTATTTCATCAGTAATACTTACCCAGGTCTTTTATGACTGTAAACTTGTCCAATTTTTATCCATTGTTTTGCATTCTATTTTGTGTTGATGTATGTAATGAATTATTAACATTTCTTTAGACCCCCTTTCATGCATTTATATATTTCAGTCATGTCACCCTTCACTCCTTGCCTTTCTAGCGAATGTAAATTATACTTTAACATCTTTTCATAAGGAGGTTCATGATTCCTTTGATTAACTTTATAGGCCTTTTCTGTTCACACATTCAAGTGACTTTAAGTTCATTCTATAGTACAGTGATGAAAACTGAACTGCATTCTTATTTCATTCCTGTTATTATGAACATATAATAAATGTGTGTGACACAGGCAGGTATGTTCACAATGTTGATGTGAATGCCGAGAGAGAATACTTAAGGTATGCTACGCCTTGTGGGATCCATTATTATAAATACAACAACAAATCAGATTTTAATTGAATTTTTTAAATTTTTGCACATACAGTATTTATAATCATAATTGTTTTGTTCAGTAGATGTAGTTGAAAGGCCACAAATTTTGGGACCACTGTACTCATTGTTCTAAGCATAATTGGCTAAGAAATTTATACTACTATTTATATATACACTGAACTAAAGGATGTATGTTGTCTTGCAGTTTTGGTGTAAGTCTTGGAGGCCGTGCGATGTTTGCTGATGACATGGGTCTTGGGAAGACCATACAAGCACTGGGAGTTGCAGCCTATTACCGGAGAGAGTGGCCAATGTTGGTGGTGACTCCATCCACAGTTCGGTTAGTATCCCAATCTGTCCTGCCAACTAATAGGTAACATTTTGTATCCTGTCATAACTAACATTAAAAATGCAGCCCACAACATGTTTACAGTGGTTATCTTGAGATGATTTCGGGGCTTAGCGTCCCCACAGCCTGGTCCTCGACCAGGCCTCCTTTTTGTTACACATCCCTAGGAAGCAGCCCGTAACAGCTGTCTAACTCCCAGGTACCTATTTACTGCTAGGGGTGAACAAGTGCATCAGGGTGAAAGAAACTTTGCCCATTTGCTTCCCACCTCTGCCAGGGATTGAACCCAGAACCTTAGAACTACGAATCCCGAGTGCTGTCCACTCAGCCGTCAGGCCCCCCTATTGTTAAATTGTTTGATGTATAATTGAGGGCAAATTACTCTTGTTAGCACTTCTAACGAGAACCGATTTTATCTTTTAATAACGTTGTGCTGTCTGAACAGCTTGCTGGATATTCTCTTTACTCTTCATAACAAGGTGTCTGTAATTTGATGATAAATGAATTTGGGATATGTGACTTATGTCTCATAGGTCTCATCATAACAGTATGATATATAGTACAGTATTAGAACTTATGCATGTCTAATAAGTCATTAGACTTGTGTCTAATACTGTACATCATAACAGTATGTTTTTTAGTCCAGTATTAGAACTTGTGCATGCTATAAACCAGTTTCTAAATACAGTATAAACACAGTATAAACACACTCGCTCACTCACTCACACACTCTCACACACACACTCTCACACACACACACACACACACACACACACACACACACACACACACACACACACACACACACACACACACACTCTCACACACACACACACTCACACACACACACACACACACACACACTCACTCTCACACACACACACTCACTCTCACACACACACACACACACACTCTCACACACACACTCTCACACACACACTCTCACACACTCCATGCTGGGGCTGCATACTCCAGGATTGGCCTGACATATGTGGTATACAAAGTTCTGAATGATTCTTTACACAAGTTTCTGAATGCCGTTCGTATGTTGGCCAGCCTGGCATATGCCGCTGATGTTATCCGCTGATGTTATAAGTGATGTAATACAGCTGCAGACACCAGACATTGTTGCACTCACGGAGACAAAACTTGAAGATGTAATTTTAAATGAGGTCATATTCCCAAGGGGCTACTCAATTTGGAGACGGGACAGAAAAATTAGGAAAGGCGGTGGCGTTGCTGTGCTGGTAAAAGAACACCTAAAGGTGAAGGAAATAATGACTGCCAATCCACAAGAAGTTGACATAATAGCACTAGAGATCTGCTATGAGGATGATAAACTAATGATGATAAATGCATATAGTCCACCGCCAAGCAGCACATGGTCAAAGGAGGAGCTAGGTAGTAAACGTGAAGGTCTTATAACAATAATGAGAGAGATTATAGCGAGAGCGGATAACGATAGATCACGACTGTTGATAGTCGGTGACTTCAACTTGAAATCCATAGACTGGGAAGCATATGAAGCTAAAACAGAAGATTTTTGGACCTGTAAATTTGTAGACCTCATCCTGGAAACATTCTTGTATCAACATGTTAAACAAGCTACGAGGATGAGGGAAGGGGACGTTCCCTCCATGCTAGATTTGATATTTACCAGGAAGGAGGAAGAGATATTTGACATTCAGTACCTTCCTCCCTTGGGTAAAAGTGACCATGTCTTTTTGGGAATAAAGTATGCAATGCGTTATAAGCTGGAAGAAAATAAGGAGGTTGAAGCAGTTGAAAAACCAGACTTCAGGAGAGGACATTATGGTGACCTTAGAAATTTTTTTAGTGAGTATAATTGGACAGACTTGATGCTAGGCAAGGAAGTGAATGAGATGTATGGCAAGTTTTGTGAAATATATGATAAAGGCACAAAAAAATTTATACCAAAACAGAGATGCAGAACTAGGAAACAGGATTGGTTCAATAGAAATTGCGAGAGGGCTAGAGACCGAAAGACACAAAAATGGAATCAATACAGGAAGAGGCCGAACCCCCAAACATACCAGCGATACAAAGATGCGAGAAACAACTACACGGCAGTGAGGAGAGAGGCAGAAAGAAATTTTGAAAAAGGGATTGCGGACAAATGTAAAACAGAACCAGGTCTATTCTATAAATTCATAAACAACAAATTGCAGGTAAAGGATAATATTCAGAGGTTGAAAATGGGAAATAGATTCACGGAAGATGAAAAGGAAATGTGTGAAACACTAAACGAAAAGTTCCAAAGTGTGTTTGTACAAAATGAAATCTTTAGGGAACCAGATACAATAAGAATTCCAGAGAACAACATAGAACACATAGAGGTGTCTAGAGACGAAGTGGATAAAATGCTCAAGGAGCTCGGTAAGAACAAAGCAGCTGGCCCAGATGGCGTTTCACCATGGGTTCTGAGAGAATGTGCATCTGAGCTCAGCATTCCACTTCACCTGATCTTTCAGGCATCCCTGTGTACAGGAATCGTAGCAGACGGGTGGAAACAGGCTAACATAGTTCCAATCTACAAAAGTGGCAGCAGGGAAGACCCCCTCAATTATAGACCTGTATCATTGACAAGTGTAATAGTGAAAGTATTGGAAAAGCTAATCAAAACTAAATGGGTAGAACACCTAGAGAGAAATGATATAATATCAGACAGACAGTATGGTTTTCGATCTGGAAGATCCTGTGTATCGAATTTACTCAGTTTCTATGATCGAGCCACAGAGATATTACAGGAAAGAGATGGTTGGGTTGACTGCATCTATCTGGACCTAAAAAAGGCTTTCGACAGAGTTCCACATAAGAGGTTGTTCTGGAAACTGGAAAATATTGGAGGGGTGACAGGTAAGCTTCTATCATGGATGAAAAATTTTCTGACTGATAGAAAAATGAGGGCAGTAATCAGAGGCAATGTATCGGAATGGAGAAATGTCACAAGTGGAGTACCACAGGGTTCAGTTCTTGCACCAGTGATGTTTATTGTGTACATAAATGATCTACCAGTTGGTATACAGAATTATATGAACATGTTTGCTGATGATGCTAAGATAATAGGAAGGATAAGAAATTTAGATGACTGTCATGCCCTTCAAGAAGACCTGGACAAAATAAGTATATGGAGCACCACTTGGCAAATGGAATTTAATGTAAATAAATGTCATGTTATGGAATGTGGAATAGGAGAACATAGACCCCACACAACCTATATATTATGTGAGAAATCTTTAAAGAATTCTGATAAAGAAAGAGATCTAGGAGTGGTTGTAGATAGAAAACTATCACCTGAGGACCACATAAAGAATATTGTGCAAGGAGCCTATGCTATGCTTTCTAACTTCAGAATTGCATTTAAATACATGGATGGCGATATACTAAAGAAATTGTTCATGACTTTTGTTAGGCCAAAGCTAGAATATGCAGCTGTTGTGTGGTGCCCATATCTTAAGAAGCACATCAACAAACTGGAAAAGGTGCAAAGACATGCTACTAAGTGGCTCCCAGAACTGAAGGGCAAGAGCTACGAGGAGAGGTTAGAAGCATTAAATATGCCAAAACTAGAAGACAGAAGAAAAAGAGGTGATATGATAACTACGTACAAAATAGTAACAGGAATTGATAAAATCGACAGGGAAGACTTCCTGAGACCTGGAATTTCAAGAACAAGAGGTCATAGATTTAAACTAGCTAAACACAGATGCCGAAGAAATATAAGAAAATTCACCTTCGCAAATAGAGTGGTAGACGGTTGGAACAAGTTAAGTGAGAAGGTGGTGGAGGCCAAGACCGTCAGTAGTTTCAAAGCGTTATATGACAGAGTGCTGGGAAGACGGGACACCACGAGCGTAGCTCTCATCCTGTAACTACACTTAGGTAATTACACTTAGGTAATTACACACACTCTCACACACACACACACACTCTCACACTCTCTGTCTCCTGCAGCACATATCAAGCGGATAACATCAGCGGCATATGCCAGGCTGGCCAACATACGAACGGCATTCAGAAACTTGTGTAAAGAATCATTCAGAACTTTGTATACCACATATGTCAGGCCAATCCTGGAGTATGCAGCCCCAGCATGGAGTCCATATCTAGTCAAGGATAAGACTAAACTGGAAAAGGTTCAAAGGTTTGCCACCAGACTAGTACCCGAGCTGAGAGGTATGAGCTACGAGGAGAGACTACGGGAATTAAACCTCACTTCGCTGGAAGACAGAAGAGTTAGGGGGGACATGATCACCACATTCAAGATTCTGAAGGGGATTGATAGGGTAGATAAAGACAGTCTATTTAACACAAGGGGAACACGCACAAGGGGACACAGGTGGAAACTGAGTGCCCAAATGAGCCACAGAGATATTAGAAAGAACTTTTTTAGTGTCAGAGTGGTTGACAAATGGAATGCATTAGGAAGTGATGTGGTGGAGGCTGACTCCATACACAGTTTCAAGTGTAGATATGACAGAGCCCGATAGGCTCATGAATCTGTACACCTGTTGATTGACGGTTGAGAGGCGGGAGCAAAGAGCCAGAGCTCAACCCCTGCAAACACAACTAGGTGAGTACACACACACACACACACACACACACACACACACACACACACACACACACACACACACACACACACATGTGTGTGTGTGTGTGAGAACATTAGGTTTGTGAACAAACATCAACATGGGTTCTGGACAGGGAAATCGTGCCTAACAAACCTTCTGGAATTCTATGATAAAATAACGAGGATAAGACAGGACAGAGATGGTTGGGCAGACTGCATATTTCTGGACTGCCAAAAAGCCTTTGATACAGTACCGCACATGAGACTGCTGTTCAAGCTCGAGAGGCAGGCGGGGGTGGGGGGAAAGGTCCTAGAATGGATAAGGAACTACCTAACAGGAAGGAGCCAAAGAGTTACGGTAAGGGGCGAGAAGTCGGACTGGCGAACAGTAACAAGTGGAGTACCACAAGGATCGGTGCTGGGACCAATTCTATTTCTTGTGTATGTTAACGACATGTTTACAGGCGTAGAGTCCTACATGTCGATGTTTGCGGATGATGCAAAGTTGATGAGAAGAGTTGTGACAGATGAGGATTGCAGGATCCTCCAAGAGGACCTGAACAGATTGCAGAGATGGTCAGAGAAATGGCTACTAGAATTCAACACGAGCAAATGTAAAGTTATGGAAATGGGACTAGGAGATAGGAGACCAAAGGGACAGTACACAATGAAGGGGAACAGCCTACCTGTAACGACGCGTGAAAGAGACCTGGGGGTGGACGTAACACCTAATCTATCTCCTGAGGCACATATTAATAGGATAACGACAGCAGCGTACTCTACACTGGCAAAAGTTAGAACATCATTCAGAAACCTAAGTAAGGAGGCATTTAGGGCGCTTTACACTGCCTACGTAAGGCCAGTCTTAGAGTATGCCGCCTCATCATGGAGTCCCCATCTGAAGAAGCATATAATGAAACTGGAAAAGGTTCAGAGGTTTGCAACGAGACTCGTCCCAGAGCTACGAGGGATGGGGTATGAAGAGCGCCTGAGGGAACTGTGCCTTACGACACTAGAAAGAAGAAGGGAGAGGGGGGACATGATAGGAACGTATAAGATACTCAGAGGAATTGACAGAGTGGACATAGACGAAATGTTCACACGGAATAGTAACAGAACGAGAGGACATGGATGGAAGCTTGAAACTCAGATGAGTCACAGAGATGTAAGGAAGTTTTCTTTTAGCGTGAGAGTAGTGGGGAAATGGAATGCACTTCAGGAACAGGTTGTGGAAGCAAATACTATTCATAATTTTAAAACCAGGTATGATAGGGAAATGGGACAGGAGTCATTGCTGTAAACAACCGATGCTCGAAAGGCGGGATCCAAGAGTCAATGCTCGATCCTGCAAGCACATATAGGTGAGTACATATAGGTGAGTACACACACACTCACTCACTCACTCACTCACTCACTCACTCACTCACTCACTCACTCATCAGATTTTTTACTAACTTGCTCCTTACCGCAACTACTAAAAATGAAATTCTACTATGATATTCTTCTGTTATAAATGTTTTCCTTTTACAGTATTTGTTCTCGTAATGTTACACTCATTTACCAAGAAAAGCATTTTGCCATCTGCATTCCACAACTTCCAAGGACCTATTGCATGCTTGTAGTCTCTAATTTGATCCTCACTCTAAGAGCTCCTCGAGTCGTTTACTTTTAATGGTTTCAGATATCTGCCATAATCACAAAAGCAAATCTCCACATATACAAAGTTCCGGCTTTTTTATCATATACCAGTCGTTTATCTCCCTTTTTTTTCAGCATTACAACCATGTATTCATTTCCATTCTTCATATATTCATAATTTTGTTATGCATATAATATTTTTGGTTTTCCTTTCGATAAATTTATCACCTTGAACTTTGGGTCCAGAAGCACTGTGGTCTGTGCCCTTGTTCACAACCAAGACTCCCGAGTTAACTCACTGAGAGGGACTAAACTAACCATTATCAAGTTATTATCACATGACTTAATAATGGCCCAGGACGGACGGAAATGTCGTAGTTTCTCCATTTTCTGATGTATGGTTTGATCATATTTTCGGCCGTGTTATTGTGACTCATTGTCTGCACAGTTAGGCACGTTTCCTTTCACCTAATGCTCTGTTCACCTAGCATTAGGTACCTGGTAATTGGGCAACTGTTGTTGGTTACATCCTTGGGGAACATCAGTCGTTCACCTAAACCAACCTCAGTCACTTTTGTATGTGTAAAAATATTTAACTATTAAAAATAATAAATCCCTATGTTACCTTAACTTTATTCTATTATTATTATTATTACTATTATTATTACTATTCTCCATTTTCTGTAGTGGGAAGTATCAGCATAGAGAAGTTAGAAGAGCAGTACTGTATAAAAAGAAAGGGGAAGGAATTTTAAAAAATGAGATCTATCCATTTATCACATCAATGCTCAGGCCAGAATCACCGAGTGCCAGCACCAGTCACATGCAAGCAAATGTTTTAACCGTCATGGTCATAGGAAGTATGTTAGGGTTATCGAGGTTCTCCTAGAACCTAGACCAATGACTGACCTTCCTCAATACACAGCCCACAACAGTTACCTAACTCTTTGATACCCATTGACTGCTAAGTGAAAAAATGCATGAGGTGTAAGAAAATGTGCCCTTCTATCTTTCTTTCAACTTCATTTTGCATAATAATTATAATAATAATTGTTTTAATCAATAATGATTACTCTTCCTTCTGCTGGGTCATGAAAGAAGCCGGCCTCGGGTGAAAGGGGGCTGTGATGATCTTTGTCTGGAACCCGTAGGTGCGTGGCTCGAACATCCACCTCCTGGGGTTCGTGCGACCTAAGCTCTGCTTCCCGAAGCTGGGGTCGTTTTTGCCCTTGCTGGGGTCATTCTTTTCCGGCCCCAACCACAACGGTCTGCAGGTTTGGAGTACCTGTGCCTTCTTTTATCAACTTTGAGGTAAACCCCGGAGCTGGATCCCCTAGGGCAGTTCATTATTGCCTTCAACGCCATTCCGACAGTTCCTGCGATGGCGCTGGAACCAATCGTATTGGCGTTTATCTTTCCACTGGAGTCGTTCGGTGCCGTGGAGAGGGGGGACCTGCTGCAAGGGTGACAGCTTCCCCATATCAACCTACCCTGTCATTGTATCCTGGAGAGGCTACTCCAGACCGACAAGCAGAGCACAGCTCTGTAGTCTCTTTACACTAATGGAATGCCTACTCTTAATAGCCCCCATCCCCCCCTTCCCCCCAAAAAAAAATCCCGCATAAAATATCACCGTTTCCCATTTCCATTGCTCCTCATTTATTTATCTTAACATTTCACTCAGCCATGCAGTCTTACGGCTGTTATCTGGAATCGGTGCAGGTATGGGCCCCAGAGTCAAGGTGATTCTACCCCTTCATGGGGCAGGAATTTGGAATTGTCTCCATCTTGCTCTCCATTATGCATCTTTTTGCTGAATCTTGAATATTTGTTAATCACCTAGAATACTGCACATCCTTTTCTTGTTTACTAATAAAAAAAAAAATTCTGATTGTAGAAACTTATACCTATCTACTGTAAATGCAGATATTGTTAGTTGTTGAATTGTTACTGATACTGTGGTTAATAATCTCAATATATACTTTCATTTTTATACCTGTGAGGTACATATTGAGAACAGATAGGCTAAGAGCATAATTTTATTTTGTTTTATTTTTTACAGGTATTCATGGGTCAGTTCAATAGAACGGTGGGTGTCATCGGTGAATAGGTCAGACATAGTTGTCATTGGCTCAGGTCGGGATAACTTCAACGGAGCTGAAGTGGTCATCGTGAGTTACGACCTCTTGTCACGTAGAGCCAAAGAAATTCTGGATCATAACTTTCAAGTTGTAATAATGGTAGGTACAGAATTTATACTGTTACAGATTACACTACAACTAATGTATACAATGCCAACTCCAAAATCCAGACTGCAGAACTCTATATCTTACCAGACCTAATCTGGATTTGTGAGGAAACTTTTTTTTTTTTTTTTTTTTTTTTTTTTTAACAGTCTTGCACTGTATTACCTTGTATTTAGGTGGTGGTGTAACAATAGAACACATTTTTTAATACATATGCAAAGATTGTTATATAATATTAAAAACACCAATATGATAAAAACTGTTTTACTGGCTTTAGCCCTTAAACTGCTCCTGTCACCCCTCAGGCAATAAGCACCTCTGTGCTATTTGCCTGTGGGAAGACTAGCTGCACCCCATAATACTCGAGTCTCACTGATTATATGTGGACGTCATTCAACAATAGAAACCTCTGGCAATCATTTGCCATAATGGAAAAAGTCCTGCGAGCCTTAGTTTTCATCATGGTCCTAAGTGAAAAGATGGCACCATGCCTGGTGCATCACCATCCATTAACTGATTCCCATTTTTGGAACCACTGATGCAATGCAAAATTGCAAGAACTTTTATGGACATGAAAGATCTTAGTGATGTGAAAGAATCTGTTACAAGTAGTTAACTTGAAAATTACCCCTCAGAATATAACATCAACATTTTTTTTACTCCACTGTGGCTAAATTTTCATTTAGCATTTTCATCCATATTTAGATAATTTCTTTCTCCTATCTGGTCTAGCCAGACTACTCTTGTTAGCAGACAGCTTTTGTACTTACAAATAAATAAATATCAAAGGAAAACTGGGCCTGGGCAAGCGAGTTGGGTGGACGTCTCATTCAGACCTGTGGAGAGGGGACAACACTTGAAGCACTAGTTACCTTGTTGTCAGTTTTGTTTTGATAGATCAGCACTCAACAAAACTTTTCTCTGAGGGAAGTTGAGTTTTTGTGATCCTCTTATATTGTGTGTAGGATCTTATATTGTGAGAGCGGTTTGCTTTGGTGCCAAGTTGAATTTTGATCATAATTCCTGTTGTCAGAGACAGAAAGCCTCTACTTTGACTTATTGAGGTCCCCTGAAGCAAACTAGTGACCTTTTTCCTGGAGTTAGGCAACCTGCAATAGTTGCCTAACTCCCAGGAACCTATTTGCTGCCAGGTGAATAGAGGCATAAAGTGAAGGGAACATGCCCAACCATTCTGTCCCACCTGGGGATGGAGGCTGTACACCACTTCATAATGGGGATCATGAGGGTTTTGCAAGGGCCCTTTGATCCTGGTGAGTAGTCTCACTGGTGTCTGGCATAACTTGTTCTATTTTGGCCAGTGCATATTTTCAGATACTTTTCTCTTATGACTTGGATCACCTTACTTTTCAACATTTATCTTAGTTATCATATAAAAAATTGGTTATCCTAAAGTGCTATTTATGTACTTACGGACCTAAAAGTTAGAACTCGAGGGCATAATTATTTCACTGTACAGTATTATGGTGTATTTTTTGTATAGCTCATATTGTTTAATATTTTCACAGGATGAATCACATATGCTGAAGAGTTTTAAGACAGCGAGATACAAGGCTGCTGCACCCATCATGAAGAAAGCTAAACGCGTTTTGCTGCTGAGTGGAACACCGGCCCTCTCGAGACCCTCGGAACTCTTCACACAGATTAATGGAATAAACCCAAAGCTTTTTCCCAGGTGAAATAGTTTTATGATTGATTATAGATTATTGATGGTAGATTATTAGCGATTGAGTGGGTTTTATTGGTATGCAGACTTCTAATTAAATAGTTTATTGAAAACAACAGCGGGTTTTCTTCCTATTGGGGGAGTGTTGTACATGCTGCTATGGCGGTATGTCCACTCACAAGATGAGTGGCGCTGCCCAATAAACTCGCCCCTCGGGGCAAAATTTAAAAAATTTAACAGAATAAAATATTTAATTACTCATCATTAATACAGTAGTGTATCCTGCTCAAAGACAAAGCAGATCGTGTTAATGGTGTTTACATTGTATAGCTTGTGCTCTGGATCACAATCTTGGTGCATATCTTGGTTCATAGGTCAAGACGTGAATCTTGGGTTACCCCGGACACTGGGTCTTTCTCTGTATCACTCTCTCCCTCTCATTTTCATTCCTCTTCCTCCCCTTCCCAACAGGTAGTACCTCCCAGTGGTCACATAATTATAATTACATTACAATACAAAAATATAGAGTACTTCATAATCTTGAAATTGAAATAAGTTTATTGAGGTAAAATACACACAAAGGGATGAGGTAGCTCAAGCTATTCTCACACCATAATTCATAATCTTTGCTTCATGAGATTTATGAGTATAGGTGTCCTGGGAAACCTTATCTCAATCAACCTGATGCAATCAAACCATATGGCAGTGAGTGAATAAATCAAACCATATGGCAGTGAGTGAATAAATAAACTATTATCAGTTCAAATATACAACAGAAGCGTTTGTTCTTTCTGAGATCGAGTATAAATTTTCTCATACATTGAGTTGCTCAATGGACACTTGTTGAGAATGATGTGATATCAGTTTCCAGGAGTATGGTATTCGTTACTGTGCTGGGAATCATACCCCATGGGGATGGGACTTCTCGGGTTTCAGCAACATGGAAGAACTACAGATTATCTTGCAGGCCAAACTCATGATCCGCAGACTCAAGTCGGAGGTGCTCGACCAACTACCTGCTAAACAAAGGTAATGTTCAAGTTTTCCGTAATTGCATGTTTAATAAAGACTGCTTTGAAAGGATATTTATGAGGTATGTATTTTAGGAAAGGAAAGGAAATTGAGGAGAAAGCAGTATGACTATATAGTATATAGCATATGGAAGGGATACAAGGACAGGATAGGAGCTGGAATAGGGGGATGCAGTGAAGGGACTATCCCCAACAGCTTGGATCATTGGGGATTGAATGATGACCTACAAGAAGTAAGGTCATCATTCAATTGCCTCTGCCTCTGTATAAGGCATAGCATATAGTTTGGCATTAATGCTATTTCCTTCTACAGTATGCACATAGAATAGTACTAAATTATGTTGCTGTGTTTTGAGTGGTGAATTTTAGTTATATATTTCTATGCAGTCACACTTTGCTGCTTCATAAGGCAAGATCCTATTGGTTCCATGGATAGGATCCTGCTCAGTAATAGCAAGCTAAAATTCTGAAAAAGCACAGTTAGAATCCTTTCAAATGTCCCTGCTAGGTCATGCTGGTCCTGGCTTCTGACAAGTGGTGGATGGGACCCAAGAGGCCTGATGTGCTGGGCTAAGGCTTTTTTTTTTTTTTTTTTTTTTTTTTTTTTTTTTTTTTTTTTATTATTATTATTATTATTATTATTATTATTATTATTATTATTATTATTTTCTACCACAGACGTGGCCACACATTTACAATGCTAACCAGCAAATATACATTTTCTTCTGTCCTCCATGGACAGGGTTAGAGAAATGTTAAACATATAGTTCAAGGGTTTATTGAAGGCTTGATGGTACATGTATCAGCACTAAGCTCGTGGAGTTACTGCGGTTCCACCAGAAAAGTACATTTCATTACATCTAATGCTTGATTTTCTTATCCCTACAATATTTCATGTATATACATTTTTCATTCAAAATATTAAATTTTTTACTTTCCCATACCTTTATTGTCTGGCATTTCGCCACATTTGTCCATGGTATATATATATATTCTGATGAGTTAAGGTAAAAGGCAGTACTTGTTGCACATTATGAAATTATCAACTTGTTGCTTGAGATGATCCAGAGAGGGTTTAAATCTTTAGCAGTTGCAATGACATTGTATTGTACAGGCTCAAATTCAATTCCCCGAACATCCAAGTGAATACATAAATAAATGTACATATTACAATAGTATATATATAATTTTCTTTTTGTAAAAGTTCCAAGTGCATGTTAGATCAACAAGGGGAATATTGTTTCACATGTCAAATTATAATTTATTTAAAATGTGTAAGTAATTTGGGTTATCCCTTTCAGAATGACAGTCATCTTAGATCCAGCATCTGTTCTAACTGGCACCAAAGCCATGCAAGCTGCAGCAAAGCAACTTGGCCTGAAAACTCTTAATGGAGCAGAGCGACATGGTGCCCTTCTCCAGTTCTTTATAGAAACAGCTCAAGCTAAGCTAAAAGCCGTGAGGTGGGTAGATAATTGTGCAGTCTGTTGGCTCAATTTCCCCTCCATAAAAGAAATCTGTGGATTAGCCTGACTGAAAGCATCAAACCCCAGGCTACCCACCTGGGCTGGACGGTAGAGCGACGGTCTCGCATCATGCAGGTCGGCGTTCAATCCACCGACCGTCCAAGTGGTTGGGCACCATTCCTTTTTCCCTCTCCCATCCCAAATCCTTATTCCTTTCCCGTGAGATATAGCCGTAACGGCTTGGTGCTTTCTCCTGATAGTTCCCTTCCCCACCTAACATTACTGGAACCGATACTTATTCGTTCCTAAAAAGCATCAATATTACGGGGCTTTTAATTTCCCTAAACCACCACAATTTTTATGCTGGAGTCAGTTGCATAAAAAATGTAGTGCATTCAGTTAAGAGGATGGGTCGAGCTGTGATGTCATGAAACGTTATAAATTTGTTATTCAATTAAGGCATGCATCTTGATTGCAGTTGTTCTAAGCCAAAGATGAACTGTGTGGCCAGTTCTATAGCTAGAAAAAAAAATACAGTATATATTTTACTATATGTAGTAAATATATTTGTTGCTTAGCATATATCTAAATATATATCTATCTGGTATCACAACTAGCCTCATCCAGTTTGCAATTGATTTTTGTTTGGTTTTTCCATGTGCACCATAGATAATTTTCTGACAGTAGGACACAGCCCCACTCCTGTGCCAGGTTAGTTCACTATGGGCTCACCATAGCCTGTGCTGCTAGGAACGTTGTGTTCCGAGTAGCTGAATCTAAGACAACAACATCATTCTAACAATACAATGAAGTAAGTACATATCAGAAGAAGCCTTTAGACTGACATGACTATAACAACACTGTTCAAGGTAGTAGAGTGCTGGCAAGAGTGAGATGTCTTACTCAAGATGCCAATATGAGAGCAGCAAGACATGAGCTTGTCTATATTACATCAACCTGATCCATTAGTATGTGTACCTAGTTGCATAAAATTAAAGGGAATGGTAAGCAAAGTTCTTGCAATACAATATAATTGAAAGTGTATTTGATTATTAAAGGAAAGATGACCTTTGTGAAATTATTATCTTTTATTTATTTTTTATTTTTTTTTTACAGTGATTACGTCAAGGAGCTGTTGGAGTCGGACAAGAAGTTCCTAGTGTTTGCCCATCACAAAGTTATGATGGACAAGCTGTGTAATACTTGTGACAGTGTCAACTGCAAGTTAGTATAACAAATTTAACATTTAGTCACTCTATTTATGAACAAAATGATTTCTCATTCTACTTGTAGGGGTAAACCTTCACATGACTTCAGCCCATTTACATAGTTCAACCTGTGTTATAACTATACATATACACCCCTTAGTTTACCTTTAGCTTCTCCTTAGTGTTCACCTCATTCGGAGACACTACAGTACAGTATTCCCCGTTTTCTTTATCTTTGACATCTCATTTGATTTATACCACTTCTACACATCATTGCCAAACTTACTTTATACTAAAAAGTATTATTCTATCAAGATTTTTGTCATGAACTTTCTCACTTTTCATTTTACCCTACATTTATTTCTTTATTTTAAAGTTTTCTGAATTTCTTGTAAATTAAATGTATCCTTCCCAGGAACTTAACAAACTTAACTTTAGAGGTTGACTAATTTTTCAAACAACTTTCTCTTTGCAATTAATGTATATTATTATTCTTTCTGAAATAATTGACCAATTCATACCAATTTCCCAATTTGTGACCCCACACACACACACCTTTGTAGCAATGAACCTAATTGCAACTCCCTCCTATTTATCTTGAATTTAGATGATCTAATGGTCTGTTCTGTTGTAAAATGTGTTGCCATTTCATGGATGGGAAATGGTGAGCAATAACGGGCTAGCTAGCCATGTAGTTCATTCTGGCCATAAGCTAGAATAGTTCAGCATTTATTCATTACCATTACAAATTCATTACAAAACATCTATTCATTACAATTAGTGCTGTAACAACACTACTGTATCCATCTTCATACTTGTGTCATGAAGCAAAAAATTATTCCATGTTAGTTCCATTAGACATATAATTTACTTTGAAATGTAAACTATAATTAAAGAAGCATATCCTTAGTACTGAAGCACACAAAATGCTGGCAAGCGATGTACAGTAGAGAAACCCCGAAGACAGAGTAAACATTTTGCTCAAATCTACGAGAAATACACAAGACTTGGCCTTACAAAGGTGCAAAATTGTTTGCTTGTTTGTGATGTGTGTTTGTGTATATAGATATATGAACACGTTGTGCTGAACAGGGTGAAAGTAACTTGAGCTGCCTCATCCCTTTGTGTATGTTTATACCTCAATAAACTTATTTCAATTTCTAGGAGAAAGAATGTGGTCTGTGAGGACAGTAAGAGATTATGCATTATAATGGATTTTTTATAAAGTGACAAGGTATAGTACATATACTATACATAGTACATATATATATGTACATATAGTACATATAGACAAGGTACATATATATATGTACATATAGACATAGTACATATATATATGTACATATAGACAAGGTATAGTATATATACCCTGCACTGCGCACCTGTTTTCAGCAAAAAACTTCATAGTGCAATTGTTAAGGACATTTTTGTTTAGTTTTTATAAATGTTCGGGTAAAGTTAATGTCAAAATGTTTCCAAACTCAACTATTTTCATTTTAAATCACAAAGAGTGACAAAAACATTAAAAAACATTAAAATATAGCCTAATTAAAAATAAAAACGAACAATTTTCAAAATATCATTTGTTGTTTGGCGCAGTGTAGTGGTTAATAGAAAGGAGGGTTGCCATGTTGAACTTTCCTTCACTGTTGGATAGTATTGTAGTGCTTGATGGCTACAAATCCAATACACAGTCTTCTAATCTTGCTTTGTTCTTTGTTGATTTGCTTAGCATCATTGATGCTCAATGAGGTGTTTCTCCGGGTATACAATATACAGTATGTATGACAAGCATTATTGGTATTATTAATGCAGCAGGCATTCTTGTGATTGTAAATTCTTGCATTTAAGTTTCTGGATGGTTCATCTATGTACACTTTGTCACAAATATTACAGGGTATAGTATTCATATCTGATGTGACATTTTGTTGCTAATTCTGCTACTGTTTGGGATTTTGATTGTTTAATTCCCATTGTCAAGGAGAGGAAGCCCCAACCAACAGTGTACTTTGAGGTCCCTCCTAAGTTGAACTACTGACTTTTCAAAAGATGCAACCCCACAACAGTTGCCTAACTGCTGAATACCCATTTCCTGCTTTGTGAACTTAAGCACTAAGTGAAAGGAAACATGCCCAACTATTTCTGTCCTACCCGGGAATCAAACCCAGGATCCTCGATTGGGAATCGAGAATGAAGCCAACGGTACTAGGAGACCCTTGTGCAATCCTGAACTGTATTGGCTTTATTGCAGGTATTGGTTGCTGTTTTTTAATTTGTCCTGTCGGGAGAATAAATCGTCATTTTGGTCCTGTTATTTTAGTGTTAATGTTGATCTCTCTGCATGGCCTAATGAATGATGTTGGGTATTTAACTAAAACCTGTAGTAATACTGATAAAAAGGTATGGTGCACAAGACTTCCACTACTGTACAGTCAAAACGCTCACCAGCAGTATAATTAGTGACATCACCATGCCTCAGGCCGGGCTTGGGGAGTAGAACAACTCTCAGAACCCTCTCCAGGTATGCTCCAGGTAAGTATACTGTACCACCAAAACAGTGGTGAAAAAGCACACACAGGAAAAACATCCCAAAAATTAGATGATAAGATTTACAAACACAAATACGCCGACCGTGTTACACACAGGAACCAGGAGCAACACAATTAACTTCAGGGATGCCAGCAAAGAAGAAAACATTAAGAGACAGTGTAGGGATCTGCAGCCATCAAGCACTACAACACCATCAAAGAGAATGAAGGAAAATTTAACATTACTCTCCCGTATTATTTCACAAATATAAAATACGTAATCTCTTGCCCCTATCACTGACCTCATCCTATCTAATTTCACTTTTGCCACATGTTTCCCTTTTGCCACATGTTTCCCTTTTGCCACATGTTTCCCTTTTGTATCCACTAGCCCCTGTGTTTGTCTATTAAAGTTGATGAAGCCTTAACAGGTGACACGTCACCTACTGTTAAGATCTTCTCTCCTCTTGGTGCTTCTCTACATACATATCCTTTCACAATGTATGAAGTATTTTATGTATTTGTGATAGTCTGACCTATTCAAATTTTACTTGGCAGGTATATCAGGATCGATGGCAAGACTAATGCAGAATTGAGGCAAAACTTAGTTACAAAATTTCAAACAAATGATGATATCAAAGTTGCAGTTCTGTCCATTACAGCTGCTAATACTGGAATTACGCTTACTGCGGCTCAGATTGTTGTCTTTGCGGAATTATTTTGGAATCCAGGGGTAAGTAAAAAGAGGGAAAGCAAATGTATTAAACAGGATAGATAAATAACCCAATCCACACACACACACACACACACACACACAATTAAATGAAAGTAATTATGTTTCAGCCGTTTCTAGGCCCTTCGCAATTCCTTGTCACGACTTGATAAGGGTCCAGGACAGACCAAAATGCAAAATGTTATGACGTGAAAGATTCAAGATGGGCCAAAACCTTCACACAACTTGACAAGTGCCCAGGATAAACCAAAATGTTGTCATATCCCTTTCATTCCATGTGTTGGTTGGGTTCCTGTATTTGTCTTCAGCCATGTTATTGTGCTTATTATCTGCATAGAAAAGACAAGCATGATAGGGCAGAGACAAGAAATTGAATGGGAGAAAAGATAATGAACAAGAAAGCTAGTGTATGTGACAAATAATCAGTGAATTTCAGTACTGTAATTGTATGAAGAGCACATTTGTGTGCATCTGAGTATACAAGTTTGTCGTTGCATATAGTATTTGTTTTGTCACTGTGACTGAAAAAATACACACGTTCCACCTTTTGGGGTTCTTGCAATCACCATTTCAGTTCTTATGAATTCTTGACACTGCACAGTAAAACCATTATATATTCATTGTATTTTTGTACAGTATCAGTTTTATGACTGTCAGCTTCTAAACTAGCCTATGTTCCTTAAAATCTAATATTATTTATATACAGTACACTGTATAATGTTGTGTGTGTATAAATATGCTTGTATGTGTGCATGCATGGGCAGGAGGAGGATATGAATACCTCTGTTCACCTACTATCAAGAGTAAAGACAAAAATCATGTCCTTTCAGTTGATAGTGAAATCCATGTTTTTTTTATCTAAAGTATGACCTGAATTAATTTCAAGGGTACAAAGGTTGAGACACAAAAGACTTTGACCATCGGGGATAAAATGGTGACCTGCATGAAGCAAATTCCAGTGCAAGTGGCTGGAGAACTCGTGCAAGTAAAGAGCTCGAGAGGTAACACTGATGATAAACTATCACCAGAGAACTGTATCAAGGACCATTATAAGAGGGGACTATGCTTCTTTGACCAATTTCAAAATTGTATTCATGGATGGAGAACTGCCAGAATTAATTGTCCACAACATTCGTGGGACCTAAATTAGAATAAATTAGAAGCATTTGTGCAGTATTCACGTCTCAAAACGCATGATGATTACCGGTAATTAGTAAAGGTGTAAAGATGTGCTGTTGTAATAAATAAATTTTCAGCCCAAACCACAAGAGCTACGAGGAAAGGTTGAAGGTGTTATATATAGCAAAACAAGTACCCAGAAAAAAAAAAAAAGAAAAAAAAAGGTGATTCGAGTACTTGCGTGCAAAATTAAGAAAGGAATTGACAGAATTTATCAGGAATTTTTGTTTAACTTGCAACTTCAAGAACAAAAGACCATAGAATAAAATAAAGAAAACAGTGCCAAAAAGTGTACACACATTCTCTTTTATGAACAAAAAGGTAAACAGTTGGAATAAAATAAATGTGTGGGTAGTGGATACAAAAACATATAGATCTTCTAAACATTACAAGCCAAAAATTATAGAGAAGACAAGACACGGTGAGCATAGCTCTCATTTTTGAACTACAGTAATTGGGTATTTGTACAGTAACCCTATACTGCCTTTAATATTTATTCATCAAAGCAAAACAAAACAAATGTAGTGTCATTTGTCCTCAAACAATGGACATGTTACAGTAACAAACAATATACTTTAGAATACAGGTACAGTAGCTGTAAAATTATTAAATTATAGTTACAAAAAGTCAAGATTGAGTTCATAAATGCAAAAAATACAAAATTTAATCCTGCATTCTTTCCAGGTTCTTGTGCAAGCTGAGGACCGAGCTCACAGAATAGGTCAGCAAGACTGTGTGATGGTGCAGTATCTGGTGGCTCGAGGAACAGCTGACGACTACATCTGGAATTTGATTCAGTCTAAATTGGACGTGCTTGGAATGGCTGGCCTTACTAAAGACAACTTTTCCACTGCAGATTCAACATTCCAGAAGGTAAATTGCTTATTCTGATTTGTTATCTATACAAGGTCAATCATTATATAGAAAACAAACAATACTGTATTTGGCATTTTACCTGCAGTACCACTGAGTGGATAACTAGTCCTGTTTAACATCTCTTGCTTTGGATTTCACAGAATTTGTGCAGCTTTGAATGATTTGACATCAAATTGCTGAGAAAATCAGTAGGAGCCATGAGGAGGTTTCGAACCTGTATGCTCCCAAGCACACGGTCTAGACCACTACACAATGTGGGGCCCTGGGAGTAAGTACCAAGTGTGCAGGTTCGAATCCTTCTCATGGATCCTGCTCATTTTCTCACTGATACATGATGTTAATGTGATTTCATTGTGCATCAAATTGCTCTTATACTGTTCAAATTTATTAAATAAATTTATTCGTTATTCAAAATTGTTATTTTCTCAAATATAAATTAAAATTATTATATATTTTAGATTTTGGCATAGGGTTATGTTAGGTGTTAAGGCTCTGTTGGCAATTACTATACAATATTTGTATCTGTAGAATATTGGTGAAGCACTTAGAGGTGACTCAAAACAGAGAATGTGAGCGAAGTACAGTACTGTTCGAGAAAATTAAATCATCAGCTGAGTTGTGTGTAAAATGTGTTTTTCATTCATAAACAGGTGGGTTTAGCAACTAGATTAACAAGCATTTGGCTATTGTTTATGATAGCAGGCTGCATGCCTTATCAAACCAGCCACCCACCAATGCCTGCCCCATGGTTCCTCGATTTGAGTCGTGTCATTTTTTTTCCGACTGTCCTTGAGTGGTTGGCAGGCAAAGACCTTGCCTAAATGGCTTGTTTTATCCATTGAAACATTGTTTCTGTCCATAAATTATATCACTAAATATTGCAAACTAAATGCAGCAAAGCAGCATTGTACAGGTATGCAATGCAATTTTGTACATTATTAGGGTACACACCTAGGATTTGGGTATTCCTTCACATATGATCTTGGAATATTGTCTTCCTGGGTATGGTAGTATTAATTGAGGACAGTGGAAGTTGAGGATTCAACAGAGATCCCAAGGAGGTCTTGAATTACACTTTGAGCTTTGTAGGAAGCCTTATCAAAAGTATTAAAGTAGTTCAAACCTTTTTAAATGCTTGAATGGTTGGTGCAGACATTGTAAAATCCATTCATACACTGAGCACTAAAATCAGTTGTTTTCTCCTTTTACTTTAAAATTGTGTATAAGATTTAATATTCAATATTTAGAACTCTTGGGGGTGAAGATGCCTCCCTTTTGTGTATGATTTTAAATGCAATAGGTGTAGTTGATACATTCCACCCTGTTGTGGTGGTGGTAATGATGTGTATTGTTGCAGCTTGGAACGGATCTGATACTACATACACCAGTTTAAATATATAATATGTATAATACTGTACAATATCTGGACTTGGAACGTTAGATGTATAAATTTCACAGATTGTGTATTCGTGCTTTAGCATTTGGATGCTCGCATTTATAGTTGGAAATATAGCCACTTTGGTCAGGATAGGTGAAAAATCCCAGTCAGGGTCACACGTCTCACATCCATGACAGCAACTCGTGATTTTGTCCAAAACTCAGAAATGAAGATGGCCATTTTTTCAGTACAGTATAAGGCTTTTGTTTCATTGAATATGACCGCATATTCTGTATTTATTATTTTCTGGTTTAGGGCTTCTATCCCTCTAACTATTTTCTTAGCATCAGGGCTTAATTGAAATAGGAAATAGGCCCTAAACCAGAAAATAATAAATACAGAATATGCGGTCATATTCAATGAAACATGTTTGAAAGAAAACCTGCTGCCAGTATACACCAATATAAGGCTTTTGCTAGACAAAAGTTCTTTGGAACATTGTATCAAATGTTACCCTACCTTGAGGTTACCTTGAGGTGCTTCCGGGGCTTAGCGTCCCCGCGGCCCGGTCGTCGACCAGGCCTCCTGGTTGCCGGACTGATCAACCAGGCTGTTGGACGCGGCTGCTCGCAGCCTGACATACGAGTCACAGCCTGGTTGATCAGGTATCCTTTGGAGGTGCTTATCCAGTTCTCTCTTGAACACTGTGAGGGGTCGGCCAGTTATGCCCCTTATGTGTAGTGGAAGCGTGTTGAACAGTCTCGGACCTCTGATGTTGATAGAGTTCTCTCTCAGAGTACCAGTTGCACCTCTGTTTTTCAACGGGGGTATTCTGCACATCCTGCCATGTCTTCTGGTCTCATGTGATGTTATTTCTGTGTGCAGGTTTGGGACCAGCCCCTCTAATATTTTCCACGTGTAAATTATTATGTACCTCTGTACCCTGGAATCTTGCCTTTCGTTTATTCTAGGTCTTTGGTATCGGAGTAAATATGGTAGTATGGATTGTTAGCAGGCGATGAGTCACAATAACGTGGCTAAAGTAAGTTGACCAGACCACATACTAGAAGGTGAAGGGACGACGCTGTTTCGGTCCGTCCTGGACCATTCTCAAGTCGACTTGAGAATGGTCCAGGACGTACCGAAACGTCGTCGTCCCTTCACTTTCTAGTGTGTGGTCTGGTCAACGTGGATTGTTAGTTTTATAACATGTAACCTTTAGTACTACATTTTTTTCTTTCAGGGAAATGAGCAAGAGAGCATCTTGAACTATTTTGATCAGTTAGAAGATGATGAATGTATCGAAGATTCCACTGATGAGCCCACCTTCTCCACAAAAAAGCAGAAGACCTTGTGATTACTCAAGTTGTGAATAAAATACTATAGGTGCCCCCCCTCCCCTCCCTCCTTGTATATAACCAGAACCATTGGAATAATATAAATAATGATTTACTGAAACAAGTGTGCCTGCAACTTCTCGCCTGTATGAACCACTGAGTTGCCCGACATCCATCATTTTAAACTACTTTACGCTACTGTCACCATTCTGATCCACTGTGCCTTATAGGTATATATATAAGGCAATATATATATATATATATATATATATATATATATATATATATATATATATATATATATATATATATATATAGCATATACATAGAAATATAATATTTCCAGCTTATATGTGCCTTATGTAACTATTGAAAGTTTTAACAATTGTTATAAGAAATGAAATATCCAAAAGTGTAAATGTTATGCATGGGAACATTTTCAATATAAACTAACCAAAGTGAAAAGCCTTTCAGGATACGTGTTACTTATCATCAACCATCCGTCACCATTTGGTTTTCTTTATACTGTACCTTAAATATAAAGTGTAAATATTGTCTTCTTTTTATTTTCTTTGCATCTATTATGTACTGTATTATGAAAGGTGTTGCAAAGGGTATTGTAATGAGTAATGTAATGTATTGTAAATAATGTACCCACTTTTGTAATGAGCCAAATTCTACATAAAAAAATACTAATAATTATTAGTTTGTCTTCATTTGATTGATAAAAGCTATGCTCGTTATTTGTATTTGTTATTGGGAAAAACATTATTTTTTAACACTTTGGTCCGGGAATGACGCAGCATTGCGTCATTTTTTTAGTAGACGCGATCCCAGGAATGACGCAGCATTGCGTCGTTTTCGGCGGCGGCTTCGGGAGGGGCGCACAGTGGTTTTGGATATTATATGCATATACTCTTGTAGGGAATTTCATTGTGAATACATTGATACCAAAATGAAAGACCTAGGACCAGAATTAAGGTAACAAAGTTGAAAACAGTATACCATTTTATTAGCGCTCACTGGGATTATGCTCCGCCACTTTCTGTGTTTGCTGTGGGTGGTATGCCTGGCTTTTGGACTTTATATTTGCATATACTCCTGTAGGGAATTTTATTGCGAACACAATGTTACCAAAATGAAAGACCTAGGACGGGAATTGAAGTGACAAATGTGAAAGGAGTGTACACATTTTATTGCTCTTATGCGCTCCCGGGTAACACGCGCACTCACTTTCTCTGTTTGTTGTGGATGGTACGCCGGGCTTTTGGAGTTTATATGTCTTTAGTCGTGTAGAGAATTCTATTGCGAACACAATGGTACCATTGAAAAATCCTGGACGAGAATTGAGGTGACAAAGTTGGAGAGTAAACACTTTTCAGAACTACCGCACGCTCCCATGAAACGCTGGGACCCACTAGACCTAGTTGAGGGCTGGCGCGCGGGGTGCACGAAAGTGTTAGTCATCTTTACTAATTTATGATAACATATTTACAATAGTACAGTCATTATTTATTCAATAAAGTATATGTATATATACAGTACATACATAAATCCAGACAGACAGCCATATGCTTTATGAACCTCTTATGGCTGAGACCTGTCAGTTAACCTGTTGCATTCGTATAAATGGCCTTTAAATCTAGGGGGGGAGAAAAATGAGAAGTTTATAGCATAAATTCGACAGTATTTTGTTTGCACTCACCAGTACGAGAAGTCCTCACCCACTTGCTATCTTAATGATAAATGTTGATGAAGCATAGTTATTTACATGGAAGAGGTGGTGGTGGATGTTGGGTTGACTGAAGTGGAGATTAATAGTGATAAGGTAACCTCAGATGTTGACACATTTGGGTCAACATGTGATGAGTCAGGCGCAGGTGAGGCAATGCCAGCTTTTTTGGAAGCCTTTGCAAAAAGACTAATTTATATTTGTTTTATTCCCTTTGCTCTTGTTTTAAAAAATTTCATGTACAAATTGTACAAGCTCGTCATGTTCTTAGTTTTAAACTCACTGTTACGCATTTCCATAAATGCCAGAATGCCTTCAAGATATTGCTGAACTTTTTCCATATTACATTTTTCCTTTAACGCTTCTTCATCCTCTTCCTTGCCATCGTCTTTATTGCACTCTTCTGGCTTTTTTGCTGTACATAAATCCATAATTTCATCATCAGTCATGTTTTGAAAGGTTGGGGCTTCTTTGTCATAATCTCTCCATTTATCTATGTCATCTATTGTTTCTGTCATCAGTTCTGGGGACTTAATCCCCTTGACATAGGCTAGGAGTTCCTCTCTCAATTTTTTCTTCTCGCTAACTTTCTTGGTTGCAAATCCTTCAAAATCTTCATCTTCTTTGGGAAACGACCTGACGTAGGCCAAAGTTTTTTCCAACCATTTTTTAGTGTTGTTTGCTTTGCCTCGTCCCATGCATAGCAATAGTTCAGATAGCCGACTTTATTGTTAAGACTTAAAAAAAAAAAGTCCTTAACTGTTCCTAGCTGATTATTAAGACATCTGGCAAACAATCTCTTGTAGTGGTTATCTTCTTGAGGTTATCTTGAGATGATTTCAGGGCTTTAGTGTCCCCGCGGCCCGGTCCTCGACCAGGCCTCCACCCCCAGGAAGCAGCCCGTGACAGCTGACTAACTCCCAGGTACCTATTTACTGCTAGATAACAGGGGCATTCAGGGTGAAAGAAACTTTGCCCATTTGTTTCTGCCTCGTGCGGGAATCGAACCCGCGCCACAGAATTACGAATCCTGCGCGCTATCCACCAGGTTGCTTAAGGTTCTTAATTATCCCTTGATCTATGGATTGAATCAGTGAAGTTGCATTGGGTGGTAAGAATGTACCAATGATATTGCCATTTACTAGCTCATCACCTCGTGGATGTGTTGCATTATTATCTAGCAGAAGCACAACTTTGCTGTTTTGCAGGAGGCCAACACTTTTCAGGTGCTCCTTCACCTCGGATACAAAGTTCTTATTAAACCACTGCAAATAATACTCGAGACATTTACCCCCTTCACTGGTTCTTATAAATCACAGGGAGGCACCTAGCTGACTTTAATTCTTGACTGACCAGAAATTCTCTGTTCAGCTTATAACCACCTGAAGGATCATCTTTACCACTATGAACCATCGTGTCTGTGGGTAACATACGCTAGCACAAACCTGTCTCGTCAGCATTATAAATTTGCTCCCGAGATAAATTTTGTTCCTGCACCATCTCTGCAAATTTACTTAAAATACTCGTCAACACCAGTAGCGTCAGCAGACTGTCTTTCACCATGTACCCTAATGTATCTAATGTCATGGTGGATTTTAAAGCTTCTGAACCATCCATCACTGTATTCACACTTCTCAGGGATCTTCATTGCTTGGTGAAACTCATTTCTATTATCACAAAACTATTGACAAATATTTATAAACTTTATCACTTAAAATGGCAAATGTATTAGTAAGCAGAATTTTGGAAATATATAATCATTATACTGATATACAAAATTTGAATTTAAAAGCAGTACAGTACTAGTGCCATATTTGCCCAAACCTAAGCTGCACTTTTTTTGTTAGGGGAGAAAAAAAAAATGATGAGTGAGGAGATGACTTGCAATGTAAAGCTGAGGACAATTGTTGAGTTGAGCTCTCCTAACACCCTGCGCTAGCCACCTCCACCCAAATAGTTACCACTACCATACAAATGTGAATTACAATCGTCGCAAGTTACTGCTGCAAAGGGTATTTCATGTTGTGGCATAGATTTTTTATATATATATATATATATATAAAGGATTTGTCTATTTTTAATAGACAAGTTTTATACAAGTTACCAAAAATAGTTTTCCAGTATTCACTCGACCCACTGGCATGAAAAGAGAAAAGTGAAAATGTTTTCAGCCACATTGTTGTTACTTCCTTTTGCCTCCCATTACGTGAGCCATGTATCAAACCAATATAGTTTGCATTTAACAACTGTGATGTTTTCTATCTACATCTGTTATGTTGGTGAATTAGAACTTCACCCACACTGTCCTCTTCTGGAATGAATGACATCTTGCTTAGATTCTTTATTTAAACATAAGAATTTGGGATAATTACATACTTATTTCCTATATATACTGTATATTTTTTTATAAATAATTTGTTCATGCTGTAATAGAAGATTTGTTTACAGAAATATTAATTTTATAGCACTGGAGACTGCAGAGTGGTACACCGGTTCTGGAACACGAGTATTTTTTCTGGTTGGAACATCCTGGAACACCACACAATTTGGCCACCGGCTTCTCCCTGTGACATTGAAATATTGTAGACGTTTAGAATACAAATGTTACCTCGCCATAATATGTCTTCAGAATCAACATTTTAAGTTTTCATTACTAAATTAAATCTACCAACTTTTATGTGACAATTAGATACAATGTTCACATTACAGCTAAGCATGAGAAACCAAATAATTAATTTTACTTTCATAATTAAGAGCACTTTTAGGGTAAGATCATTGATGCTCAGCCAGTTGCAAATGTTCAGCCGCACATGTCTCCAAAAATCCGTAGCACTTAATTGTTGGATAAAATGAACGGCAAAAATTCCATTAATTTTCAATGTCTTCACATGTACAGCAGTAAAAGTTAAATATATATAAATAAAAGAAAAATGCTGTAATTGGAATGAAAATTTAACTGTTTTTCCATGACTATGGAATCTTAAGAAAATTTTAAGGAAAATATATTTGAGTTTCAAGATGAAAATGTTATTGTATAATTTATTTGGTTTTCCAGGCAGTTCTACAGTCATTAAAAAGTAGAATAACTGTACCCAAAAAGTGCATTAGGGTAAAAAATAAAAAAAATGGTTAATGGTGATGGCACAGAACTCCAAGTACAGTACCACTGTTCATCAACCAAACTCACTATAGTACAGTATCTCTAAATCAACACTGACACTCAACCTTCCACATTAATATCCAAGATTTAACACCCTGTCGTTGACAAAGGTCAAGCCCCAGAACATAGGGGTGATAATGCCAGTCTGCGGTCATAAGGAAAGCTGTCACTAAAGTGAAAACATTACCAAAGACTCCTGACACCATGGTAAAATGTAAAGCAATATCAGATCAAATCACTTAAGAGTTCCCATAATGCAACCCACCAAACATCCGAGTGGTCAGGGCTCGGCTGGTGCCTGTGCAGGTGACGAAGTTTTTAACCTTTTGGTACCGTTCGGTAACATTACTTAGGATCAGGACCCTACATTTTTCAGCATTAAGCTCCTCTGCCACACTTCCATTTAAAACCTATCTAGATGATCTAGTAGAAATTCTGAGTCTTCTGAATTTATTTCCCACCCTATTTCTTATATTGCAAATGTTGCCATTCAGTCCTCTATCTAAATTGTTTATACAGTATGCTGTATATATTGTAAACGATAGAGGTCCCAGGACAGAGCCCTGGTCCACTCCACCTACAATGGTTTCCCACTGACTTAATTCCATTTATGCTAATCCTTGGTTCCCTTTGAAAAGCTCTTTAACAGCATTTATTAACATTACACCAACAACCTACAGTACAGTTGACTTTGTTCTTGACTCCTAATTGGGGATTCTGGGTTTGATTCCTGGGAGGGATATAAATGGTTGGATATGTTTCTTTTCACCTAATGCTTCTGTTCACTTAGTAGTAAATAGATACCTAGCAGTTAGGCAACTGTTGTGGGGTTGCATCCTGGTAAAGGTCAGTGGTTCAACCCGAGAGTGGGGGGAGTGGGGAAATCTCAATGCCAACCTAAATAAATATATTTATACATACAAGCTTCCTGTCCCTAACAAAGTGAACTATTATACATACTCATTACTCTCGACAGACCCTATCTACAAGAAAGCGTATGACAAGACTCAACAGTCCATAAATGCCACATAACACCTTATCTTCCGCAGGTTTTCTCCACTTGCTGACTATGTAAATATCTGATCCACACAAATCTCTTCTGCTAAAGAATTCTCCTTGGTTTTCACCAACTAATTTGTTCCTATTTTCTGTTGCCTTCCTATCCCTATTCTACACACACACTAACCATTACACTATAATAATAACTCTAGTTATTATATTCAAACTCATTTAAACAAAAAAATGTACTTATGCAATAGAAACAAATCTTTAAACATCTTTTACTCTCATCCTTCTTGTCTTTCATCTTAATCTTGCATCCACATACCTTATGCATATATTCTGGCCACTGTATGTAAGACTAGACAATGTCAGATACCTACAGCACCCTCAAAGCCTACCCAATATGATAAACCTTGAAATACCCCTTTGCCCCCTTTACAAAGCAGCAAATAGAGATTCAAGATCAATCCAATACTGCCCTAAATATACATGAATTTTCCAAGTGACTGCAATAGCAGTTTCAGCAATGTGCAAATCATTAAGCATGCATGGGAGGCTAGTTTGGCCAGTTGCAAGTTATTGTAGGCACCTGACAAAAAGTACCCTTGAAATACTACTTAGTACTGTCAGATTTAACACAAACAAGGAGCAACAGTTTCAATCTCAACAAGCCTTAATGTAGGACAGAACAGATGCTTTTTCACCTAGAGGGTTATAAACCCATGGAACTGCCTACCTGCCAAAGCCATAAATGCCAAAACTGTGTTAAGTTTCAAAATCTACCTGGAAAAGATCAAGACAAATGTGGAGTACCTTCGATAAGCTGCCGGTTTCTTGCCCTCGTCGAGGTCACTGGGGTTAGTGGCCCTCGGGTAAATCAAGTAAATCAAATATAAAAATACTTTACCCACCGTGTAAAAACTGTAATCTGATCCACTGTATTTCTTGATTTACCTATATTAAAACATAGGTCCCAAGCTCAAATTCCTGACCGCTTTATTATACGGCATATGATGCTCTTTGTACCACACAGCAGTGGCCAATGGGAGGAATACATCTATTCACCTAAATATATTTCCCCATAAAGAACACAGCATAGTACATTACCTAAAAGACTGAGGGACAGAGACTCCTTTGGTATTTCAGTAGTCTGAAACTGCATGTAATAAATTACCACTGAGAAGTGGTAGTCTTATATCATTGGATAAATTATACAATATCACTTACTCCATTCTGTTCTGCTTCCTACCTTTCATGCTGCCTCTCCATTGGAAAAGGAAAAGAAACTGGAACAGAGAGTGCCACCATATCTTCATTATTAATGTAAGAGTACATTGGAATTTCCTTTTTTGAGAATTTCAGTCTACTAATTTTTCCTACTTTTGAGTCTTGCTTCTTAAGTAGACGATCAACTGTTTTTTTCTGTTGGGAAATACAGTGGTACCTCCAATTACGAATTTAATCCGTTCCCAGAGACAGGTTGTAACTCGAAAATTCATAACTTGAAACAAACTTTATCCAAAAGAAATAATGTAAATTGAATTAATCCGTTCCACACCCCCAAAAAATATTAGCTTAAAAATACATTTTATACTGAATACCACTCTTTTTGTATTAGCTACAATACAGTATGTACTGTATATCTTGCCTTTATTGAGGACTCGCGGCATATGGAAGACGGTGAGGAGGGGGGAGAAGGAGAGGTGTTACTATTTGGAAGGGGAGTCCCCTTCCATTATAACATCAGGCAGTAATGACTTCTCTGGGGTACTCTCTCTCTCCTACATTTTGTAGGCATACCACTAGGACCTGCTTGTGGCTCACTGCTTGCTTGTCTCACTAAGAATCTGTCTAAAGACACTTGTTTTTCCCTACATTTTAACACTTGTCTGTAGTGAGACATCACATTGTCATTTAAAAGGTCAATGCAACGGCCTGCTACAACTTTATCTGGGTGAGTTTTTTCAACAAAACTTTGCAGTTCTTCCCATACTTCACACATTTTCTTAATGAGGAAGGGACATCCTCTACTGCCTCTACTCACAACTATTTTCTTAGGTTGAACCTTACCACTGACTTTCTTGGGACCCATGGCATGATATATAATAATTACTTTTATGTTCAAAAAACAAAAAAGCACAAAAACAATTAAATTCTTTACAAGCGCGATCGTCACTAAGCGGGCGGCTCTGGTAAACTGAGGCGGGGTCGCCTGTGCCACCAGGAACCACATGCTCGGTTGACTCATACGTGTATCAACAAAGTCGCTAGTCGAGGCAAAGGTCGTAAGTCGAGTTGCATTTTCCCACGAAATTGGGGTCATAACTTGAAAAATTCGTAAGTTAATATCAATTCAGAAAGTTCTGAATTCAATTTATTGCAATCTCTAGCACAGAATATACTTAGAAAAGCACAAAAACCCTAAAACAATTGGAATAGCATAAAGTAACAATATTTACATGTCCACAGACCTCGCACTAAAACAAAACAAAACAAAAAATGCCAAAGAATTGAAAGACAAACTTAAAAATTGAGAAACTTAACTCAAAACACAAATTCAAAGCTAAATAAAGTACAGTATAAGGAGAAATCAAGTAATAAATCTAAATCCGTTGTTGGTTCCGTGGATCAATGACCCTGTGGCCTGGTATCAACAAGGCATCAGAACTAATCTTAAATATCTCCACAAACAAGCAGGTATAAAACCAAAAAGACAGAATACAGAATAATATTGTGCAGAATGCAGCATAGTAAATAAATCTGACATTAAATCACATATACCAAAGTTGAGACTCTTGACATAATTGAGAATAGGTAAACATGGGAGGAAGAGAAGTGATGGAAAGGAAAATCCATATTCCAAGGCAGCACCCAACTTTTAGGAAGGAGAAAACAACATGAGGAGGAGGCATAATACTATACATAAAAGAGGGCTTGACTGGAACCAGCAATGGGGAATTAAATAACATGGATGCTAAGAATCTGTAAGGTGCAATATAATAGCTCGAAATGGTATTAAGCTTAGTAAGAAAATGCTGGAGCAGACAGCAATGGCAGAGTTTTACAGAACTGGATCATGTGAAAAGGGTAGCAGCACAAGTTCTTGTACAGGGGAATTTTTACCACACTAGACAAAAGACTGAGTGAATCTAACACCACATACAGAAAGAGAGTAGTTTCTTAACTTCAGATATACTAATTAATCAGCATGTGACTGATCTCACCCTAGATAACAGCATTCTAGATCTTGTGCTAAGCAACGGAATGCATGATCAATCAAATCCAGCTAGGTGAGAAGATTGCCCCTACAAATAACTACTATATCTTGAAATGAAACACTTCTAGAAATGCATATAAAAGGTCCAAGAGGATGACTGCTTTGATTACCTTTGATATAGTTTTAGCAGGTAAGATATAGTTTTATAAGAAACTATAAAAAATAAGAGGAACTGAAAAAAATACCTCCTGGAAGAAGTTAAAAATCAAGATACTGAAGCATCATTGGATAATTTCCCAAAGGTCATCATTTAATTTTTACAAAAATATATGCTAAGGAGAAGGAAATGGTCAATAATCAGATGGATGACAAAGGCAGTAAAAAAAAAAAAAAAAAAAAAAAAACAGCTTTAACAACCAAGTTTAACACCTGGAAGAAGTATCAATACACCAAGGATCACATAAATTATGAAACATGCTAAAGGGTATGAAATGCAGGTAACCAGGAAATCAGATCAACCAAGAGCAACTATGACAAACTTATTCAAAACAGAAAAATATTGAGTCCTTTTCATGGTTGTACAAGTAGTAAAACCTTGTACAAGTTAGTCTCACCTTAAAAGGTGAGGCTAACCATGTTATAACTGATGACAAAAAGACAAACAACACTCTGAACTTTAAAGTATAAAGATGTATACTTTACATCTGTGTACACACTAGAAAGAATAGATAACATATACCTAGAAAAGATCATCAAGGCAAATAGGGGCGACCTTCGACAAACCGCCAGCTTCCTGTCCTCGTCGAGGCCACTAGGGTTATTGGCCTTCAGGTAAATCAGGTAAAACATCCCAACACAGCATAAACATGTGAAATATTCAGGAAAAGCATCAAGAAATTAAAGTAATCAAAAGCCCCAATTGTGAATGGATTCAGTTCAAATTTAGACACCAGTTCAGGGTGAATCTGTTCAACATCAACATGTATAAGACTGTTGGACAATAAGGAAAATAGAACAAAAAAAATTAGAAAACTGCCCATGACAGATTTCCAAAATGGCAACCTGAATGCGCAAGGCATGTACACAGTGCTCGCTCACCGAACCTTGAACAGGCTACAACAGAGAAGGGCGAAGAGAGCCATGGCATAAATGAAGAGGAAACAAATCTAGGTTCAGTTACAGCATTAGGCTGTAACTGAACCAGGCTGTAAGTTACAGCATTAGGCTGTAACATCCAGCCATAGAGGATGGCTATGTTACAGCATCAGGCTATAGATCCAGCCACCACAGCATCACCAAACTGAGATGCCATGAACAAAGTTTTTACACATTGTAGGCCTTGTATGATTAGCTAATACACTTTGGGTCTAGTTTATTAGAAAGTACCAGATCCATCATTTTGGTATTGCATTTTTGCATAATTTATTACATTTGTTGAAGATTTTCAAGAAGTGTATGTTTATTATATCAACAATTTCAGTACATTCCATCTCAAATTTACAGAACTGCTCTTGAGAAAATGTAAAAATGTAAAACATCAATGTATGATTTTATCTTATTTTGTTCTTTATTCAGAGAGCTTAAACACTGTCAGGACAAAATGGGGAAACGGGGGAACAGCTGTCTGCCACTATCAAGGCCATTAGAGATGGTGGCCCTTAGATAAATTTAATGAAATATGATGAAAGAAAACAAAACAAACAGAAGCAATAATAAACAATGCTTATGAGAAAATACTAAGGCAATGTAAAGAGATTGAACTCACATCCCTGGACAATTATAATGTTTCATTCCAGTTTCGAGTATTTCATATGATACAATAACCCTGCTAACCTGAGGGCAGAGACAAGAGAGGTTCAGCTGGTATTACTGGGAAAGCATCATCTGTTCCATCTGTTTTCTTTTCTTTTTCCAACATTGCTCGCTGTCGGGCAGTCATCAGTCGAGGATTTTTCATTCGCTTTAATTCATCATCAACCTGAAATAATATAGTCAAATAAAAAAAATTAATAAAAAGTTATAAAATGTCACATTTGGCTATAAAATAGACTATGAAAATAAGTTCTCTAACTGAGGCCTGTGTGTTGGACACTCTTATATGAGATATTTTCACCTCAGTAGGAATCAAGTGCTAAATCTTGTTTGGGTGTTGCTATGCTTTTGAAGAGTAAAGGTAATTTGCTTTTTGATTTAGTTTCATTTAGTCCAAGGCTGCACTTGTCCCTTCTCATTGATGTGTAACAGGTGTTGGTGAGCACAAGCCTAAAAATGCTTCTCTCGCAGTCATCTTCACAATCTGGGGAAGATCGGCTCAAACTCGCCTGGATTGGCAAGTTTGATTTTTTGGTGTGCATCAGAGGTTTGATTACCTCGATTTTCTGCTGTTGAAGGTTTCATGGATAATGCATCCAGTTCAGAACCTGAATCTGCTGTTTACAGCTTTTGGGGTGTTCATCTAATTTTTGTCCTTGATGGTCACTACTTTCAGGAACAGCCAAAAGTAGTAGATGTGCCAAACCCAAAAAAACCAGCCAATCCCTGAACATAGGATGGACCAGTACCAGGCAATTGGCATCCTAAAAGTCTAGGGGAAAAAAAAAAAGAGCCAAGACAGCACGAAACCACCTTGTGACCCGCACACACAGTTAATCAGAATGAAGGACAGGGAATATGAGCACTGATTCCTGACAAGTCGAAGATCATCTGGGACTTAGGAAGTCTTTTTCCTTGGTCACAATAAAAAGTCTGGATGCTTTCTGTAAATCAGGGCCCATGGAATTTGCTTCCCTGTCCAAAATGTCATGAGTGTGGAAAAGTTAAGCAGACCCAGGGCCCAGGATCCAGAGACATCAAGAGGTAGACTGTGAAGCCATGTACAAAAGACACTAATGGAAATTATGTGAGGGACCCACACATTCCCGATCTAAGACTCAAAAGGCACACAGACATTCTCTCTCTCTCTCCCAATGATGAGACTGGGGCCACTATCAACCCTTTTGCTGTGACACCTAACAGCGACTGGTTACCTTGGAGTGAATTAAGGTACTCTCCATTGAGTTTCCTTTCCCTAAGTAGAAATACAGTATGATAAAAAATGCAAAACAAAAAAATCTACATTTTTTGCTCTTTTATTAAAGGAAACAATGTTTCAGAGTGCTATAGCCAAAGAGATAAATAAAATTACAACATTCACACATTATAACTAAATTTCAAAATGCAGGCAAACCTTACACTTGATAACATTACCTCTTCAAGTTTGCCAGACTCTATAGCGTCCAGCCATCGCTCCTCTTCACTGTCTGTGTCATCCTCCCCTTTACCGTCTTTCTTTTTGCCACTTTTCTTGCCCCCAGTGGTCTTGCTCTTCTCGGATTTGACCTTAACAGATTTTGGTGTGGTTCTAAAATTTGATGATAAAATATCAGTGCATTATTAAAACTTGAACATCTAAGCTAAGCTAACAAGTTGCACATGATGAGCCTACAGAAGGTTGGGTGGTTATCAGATTTATACACATTATATAGCGGCTCACATTTCCACCACTGGGAATATGGCAGTTGGTGTCTTGGTATATCCACACTGCTCTGGGTGTGGCATCGGCATCGCTTACACCCGAGGGCTTGTACATGGAGTTACAGTATTAACAGTGGCCTCAGCAGAAAACAGGAAAGCTCTATGCCATCTGGCTTCTGTTGATGAATGCAGTGATGGATGTGTTCATACATCATCATTATCAGAATATGACTGATAAAAAAAACTACCTAGAACATGAAATAACTCACCCAATCACTGCAAGGTGGCAGCACAGTCCACTACAGTCCCCTAAGCCTAGGCCCAACCCAGTGTCTCAGAAAAGGTGGGACAAGGAGCTATTGAGATGGAGCCAAGAAAGGGGCATTTAATTTAGTTCAACACTAGTAGTAGTAGTAGTAGGCATCCATCAGTCTCAGGAGACTATGGACTTGCGCACTGGCGTCGGCCTGGTCTGGAGTGGCCTCACAAGGGTGCAAAGCCAGGGTAGGTTGATTGATTGTTACTGTGTAGTTCAACACTACACAGTAACTTTCCTCAGTAGCCCCCCCCCCTCAGCTTCCTCACATTGGCCCCTCACATGAAGAACAGCGATTTTGATCCCAACACCAAAGCAATAACATGCAACAATAAATAAGACCAAAAGGGGCTTCTCCATAGAAAGTGTCCATGGTGACAGGACCTGGGTTAAGGTGTGCTGGCCTCAGTTGTATCATATGACCCACCATCACACTATGTCTTCAGGTATGTGCCAGAGCTGGGAGGTAGCAATCTGCACGTACCTGATAGGAATTACAGAAGCCCCAAGTCCTCTTATTGGTAGAAAGTATATGGGAAAAAACAGATTATTTGCAAAACTGGATCAGATACAAGATGATATGCCTATGATAATTGCTTTTAGAGGTGCCATTGAACCTTAGTGCATTGGCCATAGCTTGGTAGATGGCATTCATTGCAAGAATCAAAAGATCTAAACCAAGTGGAAAACAGGTCAATTCATCTTAAAAACCAGTCCCAATTCATCTTAAAAACCAGTCCCAATTCATCTTAAAAACCAGCCCCAATTCATCTTAAAAACCAGTCCCAATTCATCTTAAAAACCAGTCCCTGCCAGCTGACAGACATGGAATACAATCAGGAAGAATGTGAAGTGTCAGGTGTGCAGAACTGGGGTTAGGTGTACTAGTGTTTCACAGTGGTAGTTCATAAAAGGTAAACAATTGCAGTAATTGGTTATTAACCAGAGCCTACTGTTAGTCGCCCAGTGTTGTCTGGGAAGGGACGTGTAAGGCTTGATTTTATGAACTCCCCACTTGTCATTTTTGGTTGGATTGATATTTTCTCCAGTGACTCCACAGCACCTTATATAACCCTGCAGGGATGATTCAAAAAGATTTGTGTGGTGCCAGTGCCATACAAAACATTGCTTGACAGTGCATGATTGTTTCCAATAATCCAGCAGATCATATGTGCACTGTGTATACCTCAAGGAACAGACGAAAGAGCTAGCTCAGAAGGTAGTAAGATACACGACTAAAGATGAGATGTTACTGTTGATGATTTGCTCAAACATACTGGTGTTGGTTCTCCTTGATGCTGTGCAGTGTAAAAAAGATGGATGCACAAGTAGTGACCTTTAATATCTTTAGACAGGTTTCCAACTAAGTACGACACTCTATCTTTGTGCAGAGGCCTACCCCATCCCAAGTGGTGAGAAATGGATTAATAAATAGTGATGATAAAATAATTCATTTCCAGTCCTAAATTTTCAAGCACTGTTTTGAAATAAATTAATTGCTTCCTACATAAATAATTTCACTGTATTCATTTCTCAGTACAAGCCTATATGCCTATATAGACTAATAGGCTCTTAAACAACCACATTATAAATAATTTTATATAAAATTACACTAAAATCAAAGACAAAAGCATATACACATGCTTCATATACAAATTCAAAGTAAACAGTCATGACTAAACACTCAACATACGGCTTTTCGGGGGAAGAGTCAATCTTAATTTTCAACTTTAACCCTTGGGTTGGCGAGTCATCAATGTCATCAACAGTGACATCCATATCTTCAATATCTTCAACATTTATGATCCTCTCTACCTCTTCTTTCTTGGAAGATTTTTTGTGTTTATGTTTTTTGGGTTTCTTCACTGTAGTCATTGCTGGATCTAGAATAAATTAAGCCAAGTTGTAACTATAATTATTCGTGATTCCATTTAATTATTAAAAGTAGTTTCTCTGTTAAGATTTCTACTTACATTTGCCATTTATCCCTGATGTACCACATAATCATACAGAATGTACCACAATCATACAGGATGTACCACATAATCATACAGAATGTACCACAATCATACAGGATGTACCACAATCATACAGAACATACCACATAATAACACAAAATGTACCACATAATCATACAGAACGTATCACACAATCATGAAGGATGTACCACATAATCATACAGGATGTCACCATAACTGATAACAGCAAACCTATCTGTGAATTTAAAAATACAGTAAACTCTACCCTGTGGCAAAAGCCTCAAAATATCATCACTGACAGACTATCCTCAAATAGATAATTTGTTATTACTTTCAATCAAAACAGGTACTCTCAGTTCATTATGCCCAGGCATATCATATTACAAAAATCATGCATTCAATGTAATAAAATGCCCATTTCTGGTGGGCCCTCCAACCTTTACTCTAGTACCACCATGTATGTACCACCAACCATGCACCATGTACGGGTCTGGGTGGACAGTGTTCTTGACTCGTGGACCTAGGGACCATGGTTCGATCCCTGCACCTGTCGGAGACAGATGGGCAGAGGTTCCTTAACCCTGATGCACCTGTTACCTAGCAGTAAAAGGTACCTGGGAGTTAGACAGATGCTATGGGCTGCTTCCTGGGGAGGGGGGGTTGTTGAGGGGAAAAAAAATAGTTAGTACTGTAGGTAATAACCGTTGATTGATAGTTGAGAGACAGGCCGAAAGAGCAGAGCTCAACCCCGCAACCACAAATAGGTGAATACTAAACACACCAGGGCCAGGATTCAACAAGCATTTAAGCATCTATTTATGAACAATAGATTTGTTCATCTATTTATGAACCTGTACATCTTTTCTCAATCTTTGGGGCTGTGTTTACATTTATTAAATGGTTTATGTGTATCAAGCTTCCCAATCATATGTTATTGTTGTTATAAAAAGCCTCCAGGTGCTTCAGAGCTCATATACTGTTTAATAAATAAAAACAAAGCCACCCAAGATTAAGAAAAGATGTACAGGTTCGTAAGTAGGTGTGTAAATGCTTTTGGAATGCTGGCCCAGGCCTTTGAGAACTTTCCATGTCCTACCATGAGTCAGGACCAAGAGGAAGGGGACCATCAGGGGAAAGTTTACTTGACTTGATTTCATGTACATGTTTCCTATATTATTAAGGAATTTTCTATATTATTAGTATTACACGTTTCCTATATTAAGCCATACTTTTTTAGACATTCTGAATGTTAGGTTTTCTTTGGATATGTAAGATTGTTATGGTTAAATTTTGGTTTTGAAAAATTGGATATCTGAAGATATTGCCTGAAACAATATACTTATTTAAATAGTATAAAAAAAAACATGGAACTATATTTAAATTGCATAAAACTATAAAACTCCATGTGCTTGTATTTAAATGTCATCAGGACCATGCCCTTTCCACTTAGTCAAAATATTTTAAACTTTTTAGGATATCAGGTTTAGTTAGGTAAAGTCTGATTAGTCACGGTTAGGATACAGTAGGTTAGGGGAAGGATATGTTAGGTTAGGATAATTTGGTTACGAGTTTCAAATCTTAAAGCGTGGTTGTAACTGGGAACTCCCCAAAAAGCACCATGAACCATGAGGGTATATTCAGCTTATGCAGCACCCCAGGGGCCTTTATCTAAATAGCATAATGCCTTATTGAGATACATCCAAACAGAATAGTACCCCAACATACAAGTCAATTTGCAGAGCAGACGATTTGTAAATGGACTTTTAAACCTAACCCATGCTATTTACCCGAGGAGTAGCTATATCTCTAGTGGGCTTAACGAGGACAGGAAGCTGGCGGCTTGTCAAAGGTCCCCCAATTATATATGCAGTATAGGTTACACATATGCTTAAACACACGAAGTGCATAAAGCACTTTGAGTCGGTCTGTCTAATTACCACAAGCTACACAAGCTTCACAAAGCTTCCTGGCAATACGTTAGTAATGAATAAATATGATATATTTACTCATTGTAATGTTGGTAGTAAATGTACAACACGAAAAAACATAATTTTAATCTGAAAAAGTATCTTTTTATAAGAAATTTTATGAAAATAAAGAGCTGGTGATGCCAAATCAAGTCGACGATCCAAGCGTCGGTTAGGTTAGGTTTGGTTTGGTTTGGTTAGGTTAGGTCAGGTTAGGTCAGCCTAACCTAACATATCATATTTATTCATTACTAACGTATTACCAGGAAGCTTTGTGAAGCTTGTGGTAGCTTGTGGTAATTAGACGGACCCCTTTGAGTTCTCTTTCATGTGTAGTGTTGTTTATTTTAAAGACAGTCTGGGACAGCAGCTAGATTAACAAGCATTCTGTCAATGTTTTGAAAACCTATTTTCATTATTGCCCACAGGATGGGTATGGGGGACCATAATAATTTAACAAAACCAATCAACTCACCTTGATTATGACTATGGGATTCCATGCTCATGAAGTGAGACTGCTCACTGCTGTCCTTGTCTTTCTTCTTACCCATGATTCTCCCAAACGTTTAATGTATAAGAAAGATTTCTGTTAAATTTGTGCGTGTGGGGAAGAGACACGAGCAACAGAGTGAAGGTCTGGAGGAGGCGGCCGGTGGTCAGAGTCGCGTCTCGCACAGTTCAGTATTTTCCCGCGAGTTTTGTACCCTACTGTTTGAGACAGATCGGGAGATTTAGTTGAACTGTACATGTATATACAATGTACATATAGTTATATATATATTTATATATATATATATACATATTTACAAGAGTACAACGGAATATATTTGTTTAATATGGAGTAAGTGGTAAATTCTCGCGAAGCCACTGGTTCAGTTCCTGAACCGATTATGTGCCTCTGTAATCCTTTACACCACCGCCCACGGGATGGATGAATGGATGAATGGTAATAAATTGGTGTATGTTTGTATGTATACCAGACAAAGTCCATTTAATGGCAGAATTTAGCCATTTTGTGTAAAAACTTTTATATCTCATATTATTAATTAAAACAGTAATCGAAAAAAATCATAGTTTGTATATACAAGAGATGAAACAGAGAGCCATGAGCTAGATCGATGTGCTGAGTCCATAAGGAGGCCGAGCTTCCAGAAATTCCTTCCTGTGATTGGCTGTTGCGGGGAATGCCAACACTCTTTTTATGAATAAAATTTATACTAAGAAATAGGTCCTTGTGCACAACAACAAGGGTGTTGTGAAAAAGAACAACAATTTCTGTTTTGCACCTGACAAATCTCCATCTAACTGAATAATTTACTCGAATAAGAAGGCAGAGCAGCGTATCATTAAAAAACGATTCTTCGCGGCAGGGGATCGTATTCCAGGGACCATAGGATTAAGGACTTGCCCGAAACGCTATGCGTACTAGTGGCTCTACAAGAATGTAACAACTCTTGTATATATCTCAAAAAAAAAAAAAAAAAAAAAAAAAAAAAAAAAATTCTTTGTGTCAAGGCAACCCCCAATAATAACGCCACAAGTTAGGTAGCCAGCCCATTTTTATATAACATCTGTTATATCCTGCAATATTTAATTATCACTTTATTAACACTTTAAATAATTAACACTTCACTTTTTTGGGTAAATTAAAGTTAAAGCAGAATTCCATAAGCAGGACTGGTGGGCTGAACTAAGATGATTTACTAAGTGAATGGCACCTATACCTGATCCCTTCCTGTGATTGGCTGTTGCTGGGAATGCCAATGCTTATATGAATAAAATGCAAAATAAGAAATACGTCCTTTAGCTCAATAACGTTGTTGTTGTACAAAAGAACAACAATTCTGTTTTATACAAGACAGAAATTTCCATCTAACTGAATAATGTAGACCAATAAGAGGGCGGAGGCATTATATTGCCGATATTATTTGTGTGAGGCAACACCCTCTGATGACGTCACAAGTCAGGTAGCCAGCCCATGTTTCTGTAACACTCGTTACGTCCTGCAGTATTTAATTATCACTATATTAATACTTTTAAATACTTAACATTTCACTTTTTAGGTAGATTAAAGTTGAAACAGAATGTCATAAGCAAGTATGGTGTGCTGAATAAAGATGATTTATTACGTGAATGGAGCCTTTAGCTGATCCCTTTCTGTGATTGGCTGTTGTGTGAATGTCAACAAAGAGTTTCTACCAATGATATGCCATTTATTATGCACCCCATACCATCTGTGGGCGGAGCTTGGAACCTCCTACCCGAGCACAACAACCCGCCTTATGGGTTGCTGTTTGGCTATTTATAGTGCGTTGGAAAAAAAAGAGATGGCGCTAGTTGTATTTTGCAGAGTAATTTGTTATAAGTGAAATTTGATGTCAACAGATGGCGTAAGCTGTATCTTATGGCCACTGTTGACCAGCCAGTTGATAGTGTTCTCTTCTGCCGACAAATGGCATCAGCTGTATCATTATTACTTCCGAATTCCCTTTTAAACACTGATCCACAAATCCCTTGGCTTATGATAAGGTTTTATACCATTTATGATAAGTATTAGATAACTGGAGTTCCGCAATTACTTTTATTTATCAACTGTTGAGGATATCATCATATAACGTCTGGTTAGGACGTACTGCTCTCGATTGATGGAAGATTAAGCCACCCAAGAGGTGGCACGGGCATGAATAGCCCGTAAATACTGCTTTTGTAATATTATTCAGGGGGGTGGGGGAACTATCAAGTGAAAACGCCAAGCCATTTCGACTATATAGCACTCGGAAGGGATCAGAATACGGATTTGGGATGGAACGGGGAAAGGTATGGTGGCCAACCTCTTGGGAGGTCGGGGATTGAACGCGGACCTGTAGGAAACGAGTCCGTCGCTCTACCGTCCAGCCCAAGTGGTTAAGCGCAATATTAATTAAACAACAATTTATGCATATAATAACAGCATTTCACACTAAAAATACTTGGATATATTGAAATTTGGTAGTGAATTCCAATCTAGGAATCTCCTATGACTAAACTGTACTTTTTTATCATTTTTATGTACTTATTACTTATTATTAAATTATTAAGTACTTACTATAATAATTAAATAAATTATTTTATTTAATATTTAATTTAAATGATAAAATAATAGGTAATAATAAATCATTGTGTAGATGGACAGGCAGCCAGTGTGTATATATACATGTTAGGCTTATACCAAGGTGCCACAAAGGTGCCAAATTAAAGACTGGGAGCTGCCGGGGCGGGCCCAAGGGCTGCTGGCGGCCCTGATGGCCAGGCTGAACTTCCGCGCCCTTATAATCACCATTGTTTAATAATCTTCACAGGGAGAAACAACTGTAAATATAAGAATAGTTTATTACAACATACACGGTAAAGAAAATAGCTCGGAAACTAAGGAAATAAAGCTGCCGAAAAACATTAAAGTCCACTTCAAGTTTAAGTATGTTTAAGAGGGCAGAGCAGTGTATCATTATTTGTGTCAAGGCAACCCCCAATAATAACGCCACAAGTTAGGTAGCCAGCCAATTTTTATATAACATCTGTTATATCCTGCAATATTTAATTATCACTTTATTAACACTTTAAATAATTAACACTTCACTTTTTTTGGTAAATTAAAGTTAAAGCAGAATTCCATAAGCAGGACTGGTGGGCTGAACTAAGATGATTTACTAAGTGAATGGCACCTATAGCTGATCCCTTTCTGTGATTGGCTGTTGTGTGAATGTCAACAAAGAGTTTCTAGGCTGGGATATATTTCTCGAAAAGTTAACAATAAAATACGCTTTCTAGTTCTTTATTTTTTAAATTAAGACCAGGGATTCTGTCTAACGAAGCTGCAAGCTAAAACACCGTTATCCTATAATGTTCGTCTGTAGCTTGACCCTAAATACTCGTTTATTAAACGAATTTATTGTTAGAGTTCATTAGGAATCATCTTTGTTGAAGACAGAGTTTCCAAGAAATACCTTCCTGTGATTGGCTGTTGCTGGGAATGCCAACGCTTATATGAATAAAATGCAAAATAAGACATACGTCCTTTTGCTCAATAACCTTGTTGTTGTACAAAAGAACAACAATTTGTTTTATACAAGACAGAAATTTCCATCTAACTGAATAATGTAGACCAATAAGAGGGCGGAGGCATTATATTGCCGATATTATTTGTGTGAGGCAACACCCTCTGATGACGTCACAAGTCAGGTAGCCAGCCCATGTTTCTGTAACACTCGTTACGTCCTGCAGTATTTAATTATCACTATATTAATACTTTTAAATACTTAACATTTCACTTTTTAGGTAGATTAAAGTTGAAACAGAATGTCATAAGCAAGTATGGTGTGCTGAATAAAGATGATTTATTACGTGAATGGAGCCTTTAGCTGATCCCTTTCTGTGATTGGCTGTTGTGTGAATGTCAACAAAGAGTTTCTACCAATGATATGCCATTTATTATGCACCCCATACCATCTGTGGGCGGAGCTTGGAACTTCCTACCCGAGCACAACAACCCACCTTATGGGTTGCTGTTTGGCTATTTATAGTGCGTTGGAAAAAAAAGAGATGGCGCTAGTTGTATTTTGCAGAGTAATTTGTTATAAGTGAAATTTGATGTCAACAGATGGCGTAAGCTGTATCTTATGGCCACTGTTGACCAGCCAGTTGATAGTGTTCTCTTCTGCCGACAGATGGCATTAGCTGTATCATTATTACTTCCGAATTCCCTTTTAAACACTGATCCACAAATCCCTTGGCTTTTGATAAGGTTTTATACCATTTATGATAAGTATTAGATAACTGGAGTTCCGCAATTACTTTTATTTATCAACTGTGAGGATATCATCATATAACATCTGGTTAGGACGTACTGCTCTCGATTGATGAAGATTAAGCCACCCAAGAGGTGGCACGGGCATGAATAGCCCGTAAATACTGCTTTTGTAATATTATTCAGGGGGGTGGGGGAACTATCAAGTGAAAACGCCAAGCCATTTCGACTATATAGCACTCGGAAGGGATCAGAATACGGATTTGGGATGGAACGGGGAAAGGTATGGTGGCCAACCTCTTGGGAGGTCGGGGATTGAACGCGGACCTGTAGGAAACGAGTCCGTCGCTCTACCGTCCAGCCCAAGTGGTTAAGCGCAATATTAATTAAACAACAATTTATGCATATAATAACAGCATTTCACACTAAAAATACTTGGATATATTGAAATTTGGTAGTGAATTCCAATCTAGGAATCTCCTATGACTAAACTGTACTTTTTTATCATTTTTATGTACTTATTACTTATTATTAAATTATTAAGTACTTACTATAATAATTAAATAAATTATTTTATTTAATATTTAATTTAAATGATAAAATAATAGGTAATAATAAATCATTGTGTAGGGGGACAGGCAGCCAGTGTGTATATATACATGTTAGGCTTATACCAAGGTGCCACAAAGGTGCCAAATTAAAGACTGGGAGCTGCCGGGGCGGGCCCAAGGGCTGCTGGCGGCCCTGGCCAGGCTGAACTTCCGCGCCCTTATAATCACCATTGTTTAATAATCTTCACAGGGAGAAACAACTGTAAATATAGGAATAGTTTATTACAACATACACGGTAAAGAAAACAGCTCGGAAACTAAGGAAATAAAGCTGCCGAAAAAAACATTAAAGTCCACTTCAAGTTCAAGTAT